TGATACTCCAGAGTTGCAGAACAGTCAGAAAAGTACTAGACTTGAGTTGAGTCTAACCAGACGTGTCTCTGCCACCGAAAGTGGCCGACATATCTGAGATCACACCGGACTAACCGTGATATACAAAAATAATAATAATAATAATAATAATAATAATAATAATAGTAATAATAATAATACCTAATTAGTAATATTTTCAAATTATTATAAAATATAATACAATGAGAACAAGCTATAAATATTCTAATTAAAAATTATTTATATAAAATAGACAATATAAAATTTATAATATAAATGAACTTACTTTATAGTAGTTGAGTTTCTTCATTTTAATTTAATTGATTAAAATTTTAAAGTTAAATTATAATATAATTTATGTACATTGAAAAGTATTATTAAGTTTAAATATTCTAATTATTAAAAAATTTTATTAATCCAGTTAATAATAATATATTTTATTTAATAAGTAAAATTGCTTAATAATTATAAGTTTTATTTGTGCAATTGTATGTTTTGTATTAATAGTTGCCTTTCAAATATAATTTATATTAAAATTTCAATATAAAGATTTATTTTAATCATTTTGTATGTTCTACAAAATTATTGCATTTTATCAATTTCATTTATCTTACTGAGAAACTAGTTTATAATCTATGTGCCAAAAATTTTAATAAACAACTTGTATTTTTCAGATTCATATACAGTGCAGCTACGATAGGCATATATTCAAATCCGGGTCACATTAACAGTGACAAAACTGCGGATATTATAATATTACCTAGTATTGCAATTAATGTTAAAATGTTTAGAGTTTTGTTTCGGTGTGTGACACTCGTAGTGTGACCCGGATTGATATTTATCAACATATATAATTCGTATAAGCAGGAGCTATTTAATTTATAAAATCCAACATATTAATCTATTAAGATAAATTATTCATTTTATTTACTTTGAATTTGTCATATGTTATTAATATAAATATTAGAATTTCAATTAATATTTATACTACAGTATTTTTAATTTCTGATTTAATATAATATATCATATAATATTTGCTTATTTGGCATAAATAATAATTTTTATTAGTTATCATATTTTTAATGAGTTGTCACTTAAATACTGTAGTAATTTATTTAGTCTAACTAATAATTGATAAAATATTTTGTAAACGTAAATTCTAAAAACATATAAAATTATCAAATTTTTATATCATACATAATAGTAGTTAATTAAACAAAAGGTTGTTATTAAATTTACCAAATTATAATCGTATTTATTTAAATTATTAATAATATTTAAATATAACTATGTATTTATTATACAAAAATTCTTATAAAATTATTGTGAAAATATTTTTAAAATTATATTATATAATCCTTATACGTATAGCGGGTTTCCATAACTTTGTTACATACTCGGACATTTTAAAGAATTAATTCAATAAAAATTAATGTATATGCCTAAATTTTATTTATTGTTTTTTAAATATAAACCTTGAAATATATATTTCAAATATTTTCATAGTTTCCAAAGCATTTTAACTAAATTCTTATATGATAAATTAATATATTTAATTCAAATAATCAAAAATAACATTATCAGTGTAACTTGTATCATTTTAACTTTATTATATTTTTAAATTAATGTCAATTATTTGAGTACAAGTATATAATTATATTATAAAATATAACATTTAAAATCAATTATATTTTATACAAATTATGTAGAAATTAAAATTAAAGTATTTGACCTAACTCAGTATCTTGAGACTGTTCAGTATTCTTGATGGATTCCATTTTAAAATAATGAGAGTTCGTACCTTGTTGATTTTCAATAATCCTTCTAGATAACTCGGTCATTAATTCTCTAAAATGTTCATGAGTAATGTTCTTGCTTAATTGATAAAATAGAAACCAGTCACCAACTTTTGATATGTCCAACACGTATCTTAAATGTGTCGGGTCATCGAAGTCGACCTTGTATTTCATAATAGTTACACATATTTTCGGTACAATTAGGGTTAAGCACCGGTAGATTAGAGTGATCCCAGAAATAACGACTAAAATCATGAACCACAACCATAAAACAATATAAATTCTTTCATTGACCGAGTTCAGGGGCAGTACACAAAGTACGGAATGCTTTTGAACGTCACCAGAAACTCCCAACTTATAAAATATACAGCGAATTGTTCTGGGTATTAAAAGAATTAATCATTATAAATAAAATAAAATTTAATATGATATTTTTACTAATAACCTTGGAAACACAGATATTAATGTATCATCCCTCATTTCCTGATCCCTTAAAGTGTTCTTGAACATTGTATAACCAGTGTTGCCCATAAACTTATCAATAAAATATAACTGACCAACCACATTCACAAAATTTAGTGCTTCGCATACTACATAGCCAATTAAGTACCTATTGTGCTTGTTCATTTGAGAATAAAGGTATTTGACCAATCGCGCAATTTTATCTTGCTTATCAACATCTTTAATTAGTGGATCGTCGAGGCCCGAGGTTAATTTACTACATAAACCACCTTCCCACATTCGCCATATAAAACGTGGTATGTAAAACAAAATAGCTTGCACAAATAATAACAGCCACACCCATTGATAGTACGATTTGTAGGTATTGTCTGGCAATGTTAGTTTATTGAGCTGGTTATTAATATAAACAGGTAACCTAAACGTTGACCTCAGCCAACATTGGGCACTCATTACGTCGCTGGGTATGTTATCCTTACCCATACAGTGTATGGTATACCCAAACAAGTGTAGGGACGAGACGATTATGGCGGCAACGGTTAAGCCGATGATCGTTGCCTTATAATGAAGTCGAAACACCAGGTTATCGATGCAAACTGTGTCCGATACAACCATTTTAGGTATTTATCCTAATTGTTAAGATAATTTAAGCTAGATTAAAACTTATATTTTATAAATAATGTTAGTTAAATAACACCGTTCTAAATTAATTAAGTAGTAAAGTGTAAATAAATTAAGTATGTCGATTGCATTACATAATAAATATCATTATTCAGAACATTGATAATTAAATTATAATATTATAAATAATTTTGGCATAACATTAGAAATAATTATTTATTTAACTATCTGTAAGGTACTAAAAAATAAGTAATTTAAAAAAATTTCTAATTTTTAATATAAAGCTTATAAAAGTTACTTACTTTAATAAAATTAAATTATTAAATTTTAATAAAGAATTTAAAGCATGTAATAATATATAGCTTATAATGACCAGGATAGTAAATTCAGATAAAATTTTCTATTACAAACTGTATTATTGTAACAATTATACAGTTCATAGAAATGATTTCAATAAAATTTTTCAAACCTTTTATATATGATATAACGTGGGATTAATACGTAATTTGAGTCATTAAATGTGTATATAATATCGTGATTACCAAACTATATTACGTATTAATCATTAACATCCTCTTTAAACTGTAATTAAGATAACAAATAATGCTTTACATATAAATCGCAACGTGCGTAAAACCCGTATGTATGTATTAACACAAAATGTTTACATAACATTATCATTACATTCGTAGTCTCTATATTACTATATTACATTGTAATACAATAAATGCAATTATTATGTTATATATACAATTTGAATTTAAAAATACATACATGTTTTAGCATGTTGTTGTCCTTGTAGATTCATTTAGTAAATGTCCCACTAGAGTGTAAACAGGTTTATTCAATAAAAAGTTTCCAATTATAATTACTATTATTACGTTTAAAATATGAGATTTTGATGCAAAAATAAATTGTTTTTTTAAACTTAACAATAATTTTTTAGATTTATATGACTCATTTAATATTTCTATAAATTATCGCTAAATATATGAAATTGAAAAATATAAATTTATGTATAATATGATAAAATTGGTTTAGTGAGAAAAACTGCATTTTGAAATGATAGGATGTCTGGTTAATATATTTAAATATCATTTGACATTGACATTGACAATTATCAAGGCCATTATATTGAGAACATGTTAAAGCAATTAGCTATAATATTTATATTTTGTTTTTAAAATATTGCAAGTTTCAACTTTAATAAAATGGAATAGTTCTTGGTATTTTGTAGAATGTAAACTTTATAAATATATTAAAATTTTAAAATATTTTAATTTTACATAAAATTCACTTGACAATATTTTTAATATCATAATATACCGTATTAAATATAAATTAAAGTTTGTATTTTTATATTATTTCAAGAAAATATTTATTATATGACTTATGTTAAGATTAATATTAAATATATTTTAATAGAAAATAATTTAACAATGATTCAAATAAATAAAACCTAACATATCCAATTTGATATAGATTTTACGAAATTCCTAAATTAATAATTATACGAAGCTTTTAAAAATTACCACGGTATCATTGGTCTGTCAGTATATAATTTATATTAAATATGAAAATTTTAGGGTAAAAAAATTAAAAGTAAATTTTCGCATAAAAATAAGAATTGGAATAAAAATTTTAAATTGTTTATTAAATGTTTATGCTGAGTTTTAAACATCTATTAATTGGAACACATAACTAGCAAGCAACTTTTTATATTATAAACATAATTTTTAAAATAATTAATTTGGGGAAGTTAGTATGTGAATAAGTGAGATGTGTGTTCCCAATCAAACGTCTATTTCATAGGCCTTGTGTATAAACTAACACTACCTTGCTCGTACGCCTTGTTTTCCCAATAATTGCATTTTATTTAAAATATTTATTAAATTTTAAGTTATTTTTTAAAAATTTAAGGATTTGTTTATCCAAATCACCAATATTAATTATTATATTTAACGAATTGTTTATTAAGAATAATATTTCTATCAATTTACAGTTTAAAAGAATTTTAAATACCCTGATTATCGGTCTATTATCCATGGATTATCTGAGAAAAAAGTTATTTTTGTGAAAATGTTTATCTTATTTTTTCTGTTAAAATTTAACTAAAACTTTTTTTAAAGAAATTATTAATTTATTTATATTTAATATTTGATCTATAATTGGTGCTAATCCTGCAAAAGACTTACATTTATTTTTAATCTTCTAAATACTGTAATCGGTTTGTAAATAAATATATTTTAAACAGATTATTATAAATAATAATTATACAAACGATTAAAATTAATAAAGTTTAATTTAAAAATATTAACATTACAAACTTTTAAAATTATTTAAATTCTTTTGAAAATAATAAACACTGTGTGGTAGTAACGAAAACATTAATTAGGTTATTTATACAGTTCACAGTGCAAAATTAATATCTGTTTTTGCATGATAAACACTATTTGGTTATTATTAACAATATTTGATTTAATATCTTGTTTTAATAAGTTATAATTTATATTTTTTTATTTTGTATATATTATTGGTATATTATACAAACATACAAGTAAAGTTACTAGTATTATGTTGTGTGATTTAAAAATAACTTTACTTTGTATTACTCACAAAAGAAGCGAAAATAATTAAATCGTATTTATATGATAAATTATATCGCACTGGTTGTTTTATTATGAGTGAAAAATTATATTGTTAATATTGTTGAGTTTAGTACTTTAATAATTTATAACGTACCAATTATTTAACTTTAGAAGTTCCATAAATAATAAATTCATATTTATCAATATTAAATATTAGGAAATAACCTTGCTTATATTTCATTCTGCGTGTCACAAAATAGGTATTGGTAAAAATGTTCCAGTTCACTTCCGGGTGTTTTAGGTATAAATCCTTTTTAATGCTGTCGACCATTATATCGGCAGTATCAGCTAGCTCAATTGATTTGAACACGGTGTTTAGCACATTAGTTAACATGGTCTTGTTCATATTGTTTTGTACGATGTTTATATCATGCTCAACTCTCCCACTATTTACTCTAGCTTTTAATACTTTAAAATTGAACTAGATTGAAATTTAAAAAATATTTCATTATAAGTATATAATGCATAGTGCACTTGATACTATAATACTTACATTAACTGTTTTGAATATTTGCACTTGTAACAACCCGTATTGTATATCAAGGTAGTATTCAATTTTCTCATTAATAAACGTGCTAAACATACCAGCTCGACCAATGGCAATATGCCAACTATTACCAAGTTCATAAGTTAAAATTTTGTTTAAATATTTATTAAGATTCTTAAATGAACTTGATAAAATAACAGCTCCTTTAATGTATTTTAATATTTTATCCGATGTTGCATTGGTCAAGGTATTGAATTTTATATCCGGTTTTGATATAGATAGCCTTGCTGATTTAAATATTTCGGTCTCAGTAATCTGGTTAAAAAATAAATATTTAAAAAGTTACACTGGTTTTTAAATTTTGACTAATATTAAGTAAACGTATTACAATATGATTGTTAACTAGGTGATTATTAGGTGATGTGGAATTTGCCATGTTTATATTCGGTAATCCTTGAATAATACCAGTTTGCTTAGACAATTCATCACGCAACTAATAAAATATGTATAAATGTATCACTAATTTTTAAAAATATTTTAACAAATTATAAAATTTAATTACCTCGTCAATATTACACTGGGAATAAAGGTTTTTATTTGCAATCATGTACACACAAACGCCAATTACCACGGTCATAATACAAATTACTCCAATCAGGCAATATATAACCACGTTTTGTTTTTTGCAAATATATATTTCCATTTTTAGCAGGCAACTTTTTGTTTTAATTATAAATGTCCAAATGTTAGGAAAATAATTTGTATTTCAATTAAACAACAGCTAACTATCATTAAAATAATTTTATTAATTAATAATAAATGTAATACAACTTTATATAACATTAAATTAGCACAGTGAAATTATTGGTAATAAAAATTTTAATGATTTAGTCTCCTGGATAAATAAAAGTTAGTAAAAATTTTGCAAATAACATTATAATTAAAAATATAACTGAATAAATAAATAAACTTAAAATAATAGTTATATAAGATAATTATATTATTTAATATTGAGTACTTTAACGTTAGTACTTTAGTACATTTTGTATTATAATTTATATATAATTATCTATTTTAAAATAATTAGTAATTGTTATTAAAAAATTAATTAATAGAATTAAAAAGTAAATAAATTTTGTAAATATACAGGTAAATAAAGTCTGAATGTATTTAATTACTATAGCTTTCTCTATCATTGATTCATATGTATAATTAAATTACAGTTTACCTACTAAACAACCTTTCAAAAAATTTTCATATACAGGGATGACATTAAATGACTCCCCTACTTTAAATTAAAATAATTTTAATACCATGCAACATACCAGCTCGACCAATGGCAATATGCCAACTATTACCAAGTTCATAAGTTAAAATTTTGTTTAAATATTTATTAAGATT